CGTTACCAATGGTAACGGTTTTCGAAGTTACATGAACCCGATCATTAACATAGTCTATAACATTTTGAATTTTGCATTACTAATCTATTATAATATATTGCGCAGGATATGTACGTGAAAACATGCGAGACCGTAGAAAATATAGAAACATCACATAACGATTTCGACGATATTTTCGATGATGATGATACAGTCAAGCCCATCACTCATAGTAAATACAATCATATTTGTAAACCGTGGTGGACTCCGAAAAAAAGTAATAATCCATAATATATAATCGAGATTCAATAATATTTAGCTTAGATTCGGAAAATTCAGCTTAACAAAATTGATTCATGATTATTGTGCCAGTGGCGGAGGAGGTGGGCTTCCTTGCCCTAATTTCTTATTGTTATCCGCTTTGCTTTTCTCAGAATTCTTCTTCCGTGCAGTAAACTTTGTTTTTATCTTTTGAAACTTAATGCCTCTTTTAGATCTAGATATTTAGATTCATCCTTTGCTGTTGTTTTTTTTCTTTCTTTTTCTATGCTTTTTGCTTGTGTCACGTCTGAATACCTACTTTTTTCTAATATGTATATCAATGAAAATTATCTTTTTAATGTGAATGCTATTATTATTTGCACGAACTAAGTGATCGGTGTTCCAAAACAGAACGCGCATGTGATTTTTAATCTGACTGAGCACTCTATGGTGGCTTAGTTACTGCGTGTGCAAAATCTGATTGGCTGATCCTCATGACTTGAATTGCGAGGAAGTGTTGGGGAGCTAGGGTGATACAATATATCATGCGAAGTGTTCTATTTATTCGGAAAAAGAGTTGGCAATTTAACCTGCCGATCATCTCGTGATTTATAGAAACTCCTTGAACTGGCAGGGAGTTAGGGTGATACCTGTGATACGGTATACGTCATGCGAAGTTGCCTTTGGCTTCTAGGAATGGTTCTTGAAAAATAATTTAGCCATTATTAACTCGGGCCTAATTTAACCGAAACATGACGTCAAGAGAAATGATCGAGGGTTCACAAACAATTCACATGCATATATATAAATCCTCCAATCTGCTTGTAATCGTAATATTCCACAAACCAGTGAATATAAAATTAGATATGCTCCTATATAAATCCCGATATGCTTGTAATCGAATAAAAATGAATCTGATATTTATTATAGTATACTTGTTACAAACTGTTATAAATCACTGAAATTGCTATAAATCATTGAAATTGCTATAAATCGTTGAATATGTTAGGAACTCATATTAACAGACCAAGGCCTAATAAGTGTATTAACATTATTTTAGACAATAATTATAATAAAATTGTGCCTAAACCCATCAATCTTCATTCTGGATATGATATTGAATATATTAGAAACTGTTATGGTTTTCCTTATCCTGGTCAATTCGAAAAGATAGTTGAGGTCGAAAAAAAATATGATAATTTATCTATTATTAGTTCATATGAAATTCCACAGCAATGGGCTATTCGTGTGAAAGACGCTTTGCAAGTATTGATTACTGAAGATCATAAAAGCTATTATCATGTATTCTGCCTTTTTAGATCATCTGGGTAAGAAGTAACCAAGACATACTATGATAACTACGAAGGGAGAGAAGTTGCCATTGGTTATCATAGATCTAATATTCACAGTTGCAAAATGGCTATTTGTTTTGATTGTTAAAAATTAGTAGAGATCACTGATGAAAAAACCAAAAAAAGACATATTTCAGTGGATGGCAGAGATATTGGTATGAGATTAAGCCTGAAGACTTGATGAAGCATCATTGGATAACTCACGTTTCAAGACTAATAAACATATAAAAGCGGTCTTAAAGAGATCAACCTATCTTCTTACAAGCTCAAAGTCAAAAATATTGCGTGAAAAATCTTCTAACTGGAGGGGAGTATTATATTCTGAAAAAATATAACTGATTCTCTCCCGCAATTTAATAGAACAAGTGGAAGCGAAATATTTATTTCATCTAAATACGCAAAATAAAATAACTTAAACCATTTTAATCAGCCAAAAGGTACAATGTTAAGATTGAAAGATAGAACAAAAATCACAATTATTTAACCAGTTTAACTAATATAATTTATTTTTTGCACTATATGATAGATGATCGCTTAGTGAAATTAGTCAAAGATGTTATGCATGATCTGCAGGATTAGATCTTCAGCAATATACTGTATAACAATTTTAATAAAATATTTTTCGAGAAAGATCCCAAATATTGTTCAGCCATGCAAAGCGCCTCAAGGCCAATGCATGTAGACGTGTATAACATAAATTAGCATATTTTTGATCATCATTAAAGTATATATAATGTAATATTGAAATTTACAATACATATTTCGCATGCTCTTATTTTTAAAAATGAGCATAAAGTGCCTTGCATATTCTCCTCTTCTCTAATATGAAAAGAATAAGAAATGGTGACATTTAAAAGGGCAGTATGGAAAATTTATGTGCATGTTGCTTATTCTAAATTAACAACACAAAACTATGTCTTCTGAACTATACTCGAAAATTTACAATTTTTAGTCATTGCTAAGCAAGAACACATTACTGCAACCTCAGTCATTTATTAGGAAATAGAAGAAGATCTTTGGATTTCACAAAATGATTTAAGAAGTGTTGTAGACTAAGCCATAGGGTTTGCTAGTAATCTTTATACCGAAGAACCTTCACGTCAATTAAAACTTCTTTGAATACTTTCTCAGGTTAGTTGTAAAATTTTACTAATATTTCTTTTCTACTAAATGATGATATTATATGATCTACTCGCACGAACGAGATCTGAAATGATAATGTATTCATCCTATTAGCCTGCATCTAAAGGAACTATTTCTTGAACTATATGGAGGATGTATAAACTATTGCTTGTGTTTTAATTATTCCATTAGCTCTACCCTAAAAATATTTCTCGATGCATGAGGGATGATTAATCTGTAAGATATTATGTAGTTATTTAGTATCACACAAGATTTTATTGGCATGATAGTCACACTAAGATGATAACTTTACATATGTACTGATAGTGCATGCATTTTTTAATATTGAGATTGTTATATTACTGAAACTAACGCATTATCTAATTATATTAGTTTGAGATTGCTTTTGAAGAAGTCTGCAGTTTGCGTGATATAGGAGTAGTTAGAATAAATAAAGAAAGACCTCTTAACTCCAATGAGATTAAAAAAAATATAAATAAATTGAAAGGCAAACTTAAGAAAAATACAATGACACTGATTAACCAGCATCTATACTATGATATAAATAGTATTAATATTTCTGAATTATCATGGATAGATCCTCTAGCTAGTCAAGTAATTTCTGATGAGTCAGAAGTTGTAAAGAAGTTACCAGGTTAATTTAAGCACACTTTTATGAAGCTAGTACAACAAATGGTATCTTTATTTCTTCTGTTTACAGTGAAAAGAAATGTAATGAATTCGTTGCTAATTTTATTGAAAATTGTGAAATTGATCTTCCAAAAAACTTATACATGATAAAACATAGAAAGAAACAGAAAATGAGCTTGCAATAATTGCAGAGGGAATTTTAGATACATTATAAGTATTTTTTATGATATTTCAGAATATTTAGTAATTTCTGCTCTCTGCTTATATTTTTATTTATATTAGACATGATTTTTGAAATTATCTCGCATTTGAAACGAATTTTGTGAAATCTCTGAATAAAGGTATTTATGTGACCAATATGATAGTACTGGCCATTCGAGTAATATTGAAGAATCTTTTTCTAGGAAAAACCACATTTGTTAGCAGTTCTGAACATTAAAATAGTGTTAGCGTGGATAGAAAAGGCGATGGATAAACTGGGAAACAGTCAGATGTTATATTTGTAATGAAACATAATGGAAAAAATTACGAACTTTATTTACTGAATACTTACGTTTATCATGTATAGCGCAAAAGGAAAGAGATGATCAAGTGAAGCTGTGATGTGAGATCAATGATAGGATGTACTGAACTTGTAAAAGTTGCAAACCTGATAAGAACGAATTTGAGATTATTGAGGTGTAGATAGCTGGAAAGAAATTATATTTAAGTGTCCTCCTTATAAAGGATATGAGCAAGGTCAATCGATATTATTATCTTTATGAATCAGAAATTCCAGTTCAGCTGTCAGATCCGTCTATTCTAGAAAAATTTATAGAATCATTACTGATATTGTAAAATATTCTAATTGTTAATATGAGTATACTTTACAATGCATCTTTAAAAAGATCAAATTGGAATGTAGAAAAAAGCTCTACAGTTTTTTCACTTAAATGAGATAACTAGATTTTTTTGTATTTTCACAGATTATTTTAATAAAATTTTCTTAACAAATTTGTGGAATCACGTGATCTTAGAAAATACGTAAATTTTTATTTTTGAATAAAATAAAATAGTAAAAAATTTATTATCTGTACTGTGAAAAACGTAATCCTGTATTAATACTGACTGGTAAAAGTAATTAGCGTGATTAGTTAATATTTCTAGCCAATCTGACAGATGTAATGCAATTTGTGTGAATATTTCTAGTAGATTTCTTAGGTAATTTGTATTTTGTGGCCTTATCTATATCTATAAGGTAAAATTTCATAGAGGGTAGTCCTATCTTTTGGTTCTTCTGTGTATCAGATTGTAAATTCATAACTATGATTTCTATTTAAGGGTAATTTATAGTTCAAAATATTTTTTTCTTCATTGTAAGGTAAATTAAAAGAAAATAAATGAGAGAACATGCATCATAAGATGTATATGATTAATAATACTATTACAAAAATAATTGCATGCTGAAAAAAGAAGGAATTGGATAATTTCAGAGTTATTTTAGGACTAGTGATACTGTTATCTTTCTCCAGTTTGCTAATACCTCCAAGCACTTCAGACTTACTAAATGTTTTTGGGATCTGCTCAGCTAAATGATCATTAGCTTCTTGAAGAAGTAAGTCTTTTTCTATTAATGCTTTTTGTGTTATGATTAAATCATCTTTTATTTGCTCCAATTTATTTTTTTTTTCGCTCAATGAATCTTCTAAGTCTATTTATACCAAATTTAGGCTGGTATTTTTTGTAGATAGTTCTATCTTTTCTAGTTCAAATTTATGCTCGAAAGATTTCATTTCTGATAACTCATTCTGTGCTAAAGAAATATCCTGCTCTAATTCTTTTACTCTTGATTGGAAAGCCTGTATCTCTTATCTTAGATTGAAGGATTTGCATTTCCTCCGATTTTATAAAGAATTTGCTTTCAGCATCTGCAAGAGAAATATCTTTGCGAGTAATCTGAAGCTTAAGGTCATTTATCTCTGAATGCAATTGTCTTATCTTGTCTATAAGCTTAGGATCATTTATTTTTGATTGTAAGTATGTTATTCCTTTCCAAGTTGATGCATCTGATTAGAAAGTTTTTCATTTATTTTTCTAGATCTATTTAAGTCATTCTGCATGCACTTGTATTTATTATCTAAGACATTATAATTATTCGCAAATTGGATTTTCCAATATATAGCAACTTCACAGTCTTTTTTTGCGTAAGAAAGTTATTCTTTAAGATCTATTCGACTGAAATAATAATAATTAGATGGAGTATTTTCAAGTTTATTACCATTATTCAGATCTTTTAAGATACAGATCTAAGGCATTTTATTGTTATTTTTTTACTTTAGGTAAAAAAAATCAGCCAAGGCTTTATGATTATTTTAGTGAATTCATTACTTATCAATATTCATTAAAAAAAAGATCACTGATATGTATTGAAAAGCACTGGCAGCCATTTATACTTATTGATACCCACTGAAAGAGAATATTGATATACATTGAAGAATACCAATATATATTAAAAAGTACTGATCTATATTAAAAGGTACTGATTCATTTTGAAAGCCACTAATATATATTGAATTGCTAAGAATATTTGATACATATTGAAAAGTATTGAAAAAAATTATTGGTAGTTTTTTATATATATATTCTAACTAAAATAATAACCGTCCATCTTTATAAAAAATTTTATTAATCTAATGCAACCCTGTTAACCGAAGCTGATATCAAGAAAATTAGAAAATCCAGAGGCAGGATATCTAATGCATCAAAAAAAATGGCTAAAAAATTTCATATTAGTGCTTAGTGTATTTACAAAATATGGAATAATAGTAAGTGTCTCCAATAAGAGCTTATTTTATCTTTTTCTGATCAGCTTGCTTTGGATAAGATAGAATAGACTCTTGAAACAGTATCAGAAGTATTATTTATATCCCTTCCGACTACAGAGATTTCAAAAAAGAATGGTTGAAAAAAGAAGGTTAAAATAGATGAGAAGTCAGTTATTAAAGCAACCAGTATAGTAGAAAAAAATAATAAAAATGATGTGATCTCTTTCTCTAACAATTTGTCTAATACATTTCGAAAAGCTAGGGTGGAATCTCTTCTTAAAAATTTAGTTAATCACAGTAAAAAACTTAAGAATTTAATAGCTAATACCACCCTTATATAAAGATTCACATATATCAGCAAGAAATTTACCAGTACTTAAGGCTAAATAGAGCATTTCTTTAGTCTTTATGAGTCACTTTTCAAGCTCTTTGCACTTTTTTTAAGTCCCTCTCACTAGTTAGACTAGAAGAAATAACAGTAATCTGAGAGCTGAAAGGTACTTTATATGATGATTCCTGATCCTCTTTTGACAGCTCCTTTTCTATAATATAGATATTATGCTGAGATTTATGAACTGATAGGAGAATAGTAATAGTCTTTCCATTATATGTAGCCTTAAATTCTCCTTTTATTAAAGGCTTCCATCCAGCTCAATATTGCCATTGAGTACTGAGAATTACTAAAGATTTGGCATTTCCATTACGATCCTTTTCTGCAAACACAACAGAAAATTCATCCATAATAGTAGCTGTATTTTCTCCAGAACCAATTGTTATAGAAACATTATTCATAGTACTGATAGATATTGATTGACTTGCAACTCCATTAAGCCTATGAATTTTTTTCCTATTAATTTTAATACCTAAAAGCTCTTCGACAAGTTCAGAAATATTATCTGAAAATATGGAAAAATCTGAACCTATATTAATCATTATACATGGTATTACCAAACTTTCTATTTTATAATAAATAGTTGTAATATCATCGGCATCCTTTATTTGTAAAAAATTTATTTCTAAAGACTTAGGTTAATATATTTGACTATTTTTTTTCAACTGAATGGCATTATACATATGACTTAATAATATAAATCAAAGTATGCTCGCTTTCTAAATGGTTATTATCTGACAATATTTCTATTTTCATAATATTATTTGTTATTTTTTCAGCTTGATGCAGTCCCTTAAGGACTTGCTCTTCCTAAACAGTTTGAAAAGAAGATAGAACTTGTAAAAGAGGCTTCTGCTCAGTATTTACTGCTTATAATAGCGAAAGCAAGACCTCTTGTACTTTTTTTGTAATATTCTCCCATGCTAATTCTCTTTTTTTAACTGTGTCATCTGGCATAACAGTATTCAAGCAATGATCTTTTAATTTGAGATATATTGTATTAATAAATTTCAAAATTTCTATAAGAATTTCTTTAAGACAATGGGGGACTACTGATGATATTATAGATTTTAAGGCTATTTGATACATTTGATCTATAGCCATGCAAAGCATCTGATTTAAAGAATCCCTTTAATCACAACTAATTATATTATTCAATACTTTGATATTTTCAGCACAAGATTTGAAAGTAAGAAATTCCTTCTTGTGAGTCTTTTCATAAGTACTACACTTAGTATTACTTTTTTTATAGCATAGTAGTTTCAGTCAGTAATATTTAGAGCAGATCCATCATTATCAACACATTTATCACTCTCTTCAACTTCTTCCTCAACTATGTATTCTATTTTAGGCTCTTCAAGATCTTCCTCCTCCTCAAATATGTATTCTATTTCAGATTCTTTGCAATCATCAGAGGGCTCTCTTAGGATGGGATCTTTCTCAACATTTTGGTATACATAATTAACCTTTTTAGTACTCTTAACTCTAAAGCAATTAATCTTTGTATAACCAGCCTTTTTACAAATTGAACAAAGACAAATAACTTTTTGAGAAACAATTCATTTAACTGATGTTTTTTGTATTACCTTTCTAATAGCTTTTTTTGTAGCATTTGTATTTCTAATCTCTAACTCTGAAAAGGAATTCCTTCTAACATTAGTTACTTTTCGCCTTAACCTTTTACCAAGTTTATCATAGATATGTGGTCTTAAGACTGAGAGATCTGTTGTTACACCTAAATAATCTAAATCCTTTGCTAAATGAACTATAAATTCATGTTCAGCTTGTGATTCTTTTTATATAGATGAATGTAATAGAGTTTCTTTACTGAAGGAGGAAACACTTACACACCCATCAGCTTCTAACTATTTATCATTAAGTTGGGTAAAAAAGGCATTAAGATCACTGAATTTCTGATTTTAATCTGTAATTCCAAATTTTCAGGTAAATGGCTATAAAGAATAAATAAAACATCTGCAAATGATAAAGCATCTACACGTGATTTAATCTGTTTTTTATGTGTTTCTGGAGTATCAATAGAAAGAAATTTATTGAACATAAGTACTTTCATAGAAGCTTGTGCTAAACCTAGTTTTATCGTACAATATGTTTTCTCAAAGTTATGCTATAAATAATGTTGGATTATTAACTACATTTTTTGCATTATTATTAAATGAATTAAGAGGAGTAAATTTTCCCGCCATCTTTTCTGCTAATACATTAGTTTTCACATTATCATTAAAGACTGCCACTCCTAATAAATCACCATAATTAATTGTTTGCATAACCTTATTATAATAGTCATCTGATAGCTCTTAACCGGTATATTGCGATATTTAAGCTAAAAGTGAAGCCATTGCATTTAAAACTTCTGGTAAGGTAGCCATATTTTTAAGTAGATTATTTTGTAATTCAAAATAATTTGCCTTAAATTTAATTCCTTAGCCTTCCATTTTTGATATTGATTATATAATTGATTTTGATTATTTTCTAGCAATTCTATATTATTTCTGCTTTGACGATAATATCTTTTTAAATTCTGAGCCTATTGAGTACATGCAGTATATTTTCTTTTCCACCAACATTTTTCATAAACATTTTCACATATTGTATCTCTAAGATTAATGATTTCATAATCTCTTTATTATCAAGCTTGTCTTTCATTCTTCTATACTTGCTCCATAATCTGTATACTTTTAAGACAATCATTTTTAAAATTTGTCATATCATTCATAATTCTATTGATCTGCTCATAGAATGCATTAAACAATCCTTGTAAGTTAACATTATCTTGAGCATACCTTTGATTATGCTCTCAAATAGTTGTTATTAAGATCTATATTCCGTTTAGTGTATTTTTTGGATCAAATGATATATTGCCATTGATATATCCTTCAATCCAATCTAAAGCTATACCAATATTTCTTAAGATATCTAGTAGTGCCATATTTTCTTGATATTCTTCTTTAGAAGGTTTATTACTGTTATTTTGAAAAAGTGATATTTTGAGAATTTGGCTTTTGAGCTTTTCTACTGTATCTTTTAATAGAATGATTTAATTATCTTGAGTGATTAATATCTTATTCTTTAGCTCTAAATAATCCTGATATTTTTTAAGATTATGTAAGGTAGAGCAGTATTCTGCTTTTAATCTATCTATCTTATCCTCTTGTGAAATAAGATTTTTTCAAGATATTTGATATATAGTTCACATTGCTCTAAATTATTTGTGAGCTTACAAATCTTTTCCTTATTTTAATGGTAATAGTTTCCTCTATATTCACAATTCTAAATTATTATCTAGTAAATCAAGATATGCTTGCTCAACCTCATTGATTCCTATTATTTCAATAGATTCTGGTGAAGCTCAAAATGTGAATGTGTTTTCAGCTTTGTGCAAAATTTATTATCAGTCTTTGGGCTATCAGAGAACTGCAAAAAAATTACACAAAGCCTCTAAAAAGGTTGGGTATGATTTTAGTTTAAACAAAGTTAAGGATTGGTTTAAAAGACAGGCTGTTCATCAAATTCATATGCCTTGTCTTAGATTTATTCAGTATGCTTCCTTTAATAATATACAATTTTTAAATAAAGTGCACCAATCTGATACTACCTCTATGTTTTATGATAAAATAGGTAAGCAGATTTACAAGTATAAGGGTATTATTAAAAATGTTGTAACTAGGTATCGATGTAATTTTGCGTTAACTAATAAATCTTCTACACAAATGGCTAAGAATATTTAAAAAATTTATGATGATCTTAAGGAACCTCTCTCTTGGCCGAATTGTTTTATTTCTAATAAGAGAACGGAATATATGAGGAATTGTAAAAAATTATTGTATAATCATAGTGTTAAAATTCAATATATTAACTCAAAAGAAGGTAATGCTATAGCTAAACATGATTATAAAGAATTTGAAAAGCATTTTGGTATTCAGCAAGATACTATAGATTTTCTGTTACCTTTATCAAATCGTTCTAGAGATTGGATTAGAAGTCTTCATGTTAATGATGATATATTTAATAATACTCCTACTTAGTTAATAGATATGTTTCTTAATAAGATAGTAGAAAGAGTACTTAATGGGGAGAAAATAATTGCTAAACTAGCTATAAAACATAGAAAACCTTTTGAATATGATGAACCTTGTTTATCCTATTATAACTTAGTAAGATATCTTCTTAAACCAAGAGAGTTAGAACATGATTCTGCTAAAAGACGTACTACTAATATGAATTGATCTCCTCAGGTTTATCATATTCATGAATCTTTAGTGCAAAAAAATCAGCCAGTCTTATACTGGCTAATAGATGATGAGAGTAATAGCCTGAAAAGATCTTTTGTAAGAGAATTGATAGTTATTCCTGATACTGAATTGTCTCCCTAATGGGTCTTATCAAATTGATGATAAGAAGTCTTCTGCTTCATTATCGATATCTTTTTTCTTAATGAAATAATCTTTAGCTAATTTATAATATAACTTATATAGTCCAATGATAGTGTTAAGAATCTCTGGATCTCTTTCATACTAAGATTTGTAATCATCCATAATTTGATGATATTTGTGCTCATTAAAAATATTGTTTAAGTTAAATCTATTACATATTATTAAGGATCTTCTGACTGGTGCAATTTATTAACTCTTTTTTTATAGCTTTGCATGAATTTTCTATCCTTAGGCTTTCTATAATATAGTCCTGCCTTTACTATATTTATTAATGCCTGCTCAACCTGCTAGAAGGTGGGCTTGACTTCAGTTAAAATTTCTTGAGTAGCTTGATTTTGATTATTCATTATATATATTTATTATTTTACTATGTAAAGATTTGATTAATTAAATTATTTCTACCTCTTTTGATCTATCATTCTGTAGGGTATATGCTTTTCAATATTTTTTTTAACTAAATAATTATATATATTTTGATAATAAATTTTTTTTCGAACTATAGTATAAAAGCAGATTACATTTGTGACTATTTTTATAATTCTGGTAATATTTGTGATAAAGCTTGCACTTGTTCTAAAGGTTATCGATTACACTTTAAAACTAGGAAGCGTTAGCTGTATTCTATTTGTGATAAGTCTACAAAGGTAGATAAACTTACAGAGATAAATAATGGTCTATATAACAATTATAATAAGAGTAAATATCAAATTTATTATGTAAACAAGCTTTAGAATAAGGCTAGGCAATTAAATCAGATATACTTTTCAGATGAGACTTAGAGGTCAAAGGCATATTGCATAAGACTTATCATATATACTTTAAAGGATTAAAGGCGTGTTACATGAGACTTAAAGGTGTAATTTTTTTGTATGATTTAGTAGTAAGGTCTAACCTCTAACCACTTGAGGTTAGATTTTTTTGACCTTATGTTTACGTAAAGGGAATAGCTTTAGAAAGGTTTTTTGCATACTGAAAAAATATTAGTATATTAGAATATATTCTATAGCTTCTTAAATTATGAATTGGATAACAGCTCTTTGAGGTTAGATTTAGCATATAAATACCGAATGTTAGACTTAGTAACACTTTGATTTCATCAATGAATCAGTTTTAAAATTAATTTTAGAATAGCATAAATAATAATATATATAGAAGGTTTGTAGAGACTTCACGAGCTTTCTTTAAACCTTCTGTTCTTGCCAATCTTGTATTGCCTTGAACTCAAACAGAATGATATATTTTTTGATATATTATTTGAGATTAAAATCGGACTAGAAAGCTATAAGAGATTGTTTTATTTTTGATATTTTGCAGGATAATTTAATGCCAAATTTGATACCAAATATTTAGATAGCGGGAAAAGCTTAAATTTGAACTAAAGTTTTAAATTCAATAGAGAATTCTTATAGTTAGAAAGTTTGAAAATATGATTGGGAATCTTTTTGCAGATTTTGACCCTAGAACCCTCATTTTCGCTCTACTATATTATAAAATTTAATATCAAATTTTTTATTAGAAGTTCTTATAAGTAATTTAAGATAATTAAAACTAATATGATATCTTTTAAACTATATATTAGATGAAAAAGTTTAAATTACAGATTGGTTAGTTTTTTTTAAAAAAATTAAAAACTTAATAATAAAAATCATTATTTATTATCTTCATCTTTTATTTTTTGTAAATAAAATTATGATCTGCATTTTTGTATATAATGAATATATTTATTACTAGAAAATGAAAACATATTGTTAAATCTAAAACTTTATCTAGACTTTTATGCAATTGCAAATCCTCAATTTAATTATTGAATGAGTGAACAACAAAAAATTATGTAACTAAAATCTATATAATATAGTCCTTCACTTTGTTTTAGATTAATAATATTAAATAATTTCTTCATTGTAAAATATAAGTACTTTTTTTACTTTTTTTTTTGTTTTCAAATGCATCTCTTTGATCAGTTTTATTACAATAGATACATACTGTAAAATCACTATTTTCACTTTTTTCAAAAGGAATGCAAAATTCTCTTTACTTTAATATTTAATAAAATTGCATTTTACAAGTAAATCTAATATAATAATCATTTTAATATTAAATCATTCAATATTTTATGATTAAGAATTATTAAAATTTCATCTATAGACAGTACAGCATCATTAAGTTCTAAACAAAAAAAAACTTTAATTTTCTATTAAGAACTTTTCAAAATGTTGAAAATGTTGCTTGATTATGAATATTTATACCAGATATTACAGAATATTTGATAAGATGTTGATGTATAATAGCAATTGTATGGTGAACAGAACTTGCAGAATGTTATTATCCATTTTTTTGTTTCATTTCTGCAACATAAGTTGCAATTTGTTTATCAAGTTCTTGTATTGAATCTATTTGCTCAATTTTCTCTTCTATAAACTTTCCCTTTCTAAATTCTTCTAATCTATTAATCCAATTTTTTGTAGCACTAGTTGTACTTTTTACTTGTCCAAATGATTTGAAAAATTCGACGCTATTGGACTCATTAATCTATTAAAAAAAAAATTACATTTATAGAAAATGTATTATTTAGTAATTCATAAATACTTTTAACATTAATATTTATTTTTAATATTCATTTGATGTTTTGTGCGCGCTTTTTACTTTATTTGGCATTTATGAGATTAGAATCCTATTTTAGGAAAAGAAAACTATATAAAAATAATGGCTTCCAACTTTTTTTTTATAAGTAATATTCTATTGTTCAGGCGCATCCTGATGTGGCACGCAGTGCGCTAAATTTCGCCATATCGCAATTCGCCTATTAATTACAATAGGTAGGCTAAATAGAATATGATCAACAAGATTGTGATTTTCCGATTTCCTAAAACATCCATCACAATCATCTATACGCAAAGATTAAGAAGAAATTTGTTAAACAAATGTAACAATTAAAAATTTTAAATGTTTCAATTCATTAAGGTTCATGATTTTATTTTTATCTTTATGATAAAATCCTGTTAATTTAAATTATTTGAATATACTTCTTACCCTAACGTCACAATGTCTACTGAAAAGGACACTAACGTTACAATGATTAAAGATACTGAAAAGGACATTAACAATACTAAAGAGGACAAAATCGGAGTTCATGATCCATATGCATACCATAGACCTCATTTTATTAGATGGAAGGGGTCAGTTTTAAGCAAAGTGATTCCTTCTGCTATAATAGTTGCAATAATAGCAACTATTGTGACGGTGGTTCATCTAAAAACTCCTATTAAATTAGGTATAGAGCCATCCTTTATTCCAGTACTTAGTTTCGTTGTAGGTCTATTACTTACTTATAGAACAAATACCGCTTATGACAGGTAAATGACTTACAAATTTGGGTAAAAAAAATAATAAATTTTTTTTAAAGTTCTTTTTTTTTCCTTTCTTTCAGATTTTGGGAAGGAAGAAAACTTTGGACAACCTTAACTGTAGCTATAAGAAATTTAACAAGATGTATTTGGATAAATATTTCCGAGACAGATGGTTCGAAAGATATCGTGGAAAAAGTGTCCGCAATACATTTATTATCGGCATTTGCCCATGCTACTAGACATTATCTACGAGAAGATCCTCCACTCGAATATCATGATTTACAACATCTTATATCAAATATAAAAAGTGATTTACCAGGATTTGAACCGATTGAAGAACAAGATTTAAGAGATAATATCAAAAAATATGGAAAGAGTTTCGGCCTAAAAATGTTTAAGAAATCAAAACTTACTCCAGCACCCGAAAATCATAATTTACCTTTAACGATAACACTTTACCTTGCATCATATCTTGAAGAAAAAACACGACAAGGGAAAGTCGATGTTCCAACTAAAGTCTCAATGCACGGTTCATTAAATTCTTTGGTCGATTGTTTAACGTCTTTAGAAAGAATTTTAAGAACTCCCATTCCGTTGGCCTATTCAATTCATTTAAGTCAAACTGTTTGGATTTATTGTATCACTTTACCTTTTCAGTTAGTTTTGCGTTTTGATTATGCGACTATCCCTATTGTTTTCATAGCTTCACTTGTTTTGATGGGAATTGAGTAGTAAGTTTAACTTCTCTGGAATCTCTTTCATATTTAATTTATTTGATTTATCTTTTTTGTTTTTTATTTTATTTTTTTTAAAGAATTGGTGGCGAGATTGAAAATCCTTTCGGAAATGATGCTAATGACTTAGATTTAAATGGTTTCTGCAAGTAAGTTTGAACGAGTTTACTGCGATTTTCAAAAAAATTTCACTAATCGAACTTTTTAATTAGACTTATTGAACGTGAGTTGGATACAATCGTTGCCAATCCACGTCAATCTGTAGAAACTTGGGTATATAGTGAAAAGAATCAAGCATTAGGTCGTGATGGTGGTTCAGCTTCTGAAGTTCTGAAATATTCATCAGAAGAAATTCGTTCTAAAGTATCCCATCCTGATGTGATTGCTGTTCAAGTAGATTCTCAAAATAAGGAAGTTAATCATTAAAGAAATTATGTAGACGAAAAAGGAGATTAATTGATTATTTAATAAAAATTTTAATTTATGTTATAATTAATGAGCTGCGTAAATCATAAACCAATTTTTGCCACAAACTCATTGCACTAAAAAGCATTGGATGTTAAACCATTAATTTTATTCGATTTGTCGTTTTATTTTGTTACATACTATATAAGTTAATAAAAAATAAAGAAATCAAGTGGCTTGAACATATTTTTTGAGTGTACCAAGGTAAGTATGTTTTTCTTCTGCAGTTTGGAAACGTCCATGCCCAAATTTGGAACTCGTATCGATAAACTGAGATGAAAAGAGATGGAGGAATGATTAATGAATTTAAATAAACAAACTGAAAGATTATAATAGGTAAATTTACCTTTAGCGAAACTTTTTCCAAAGCGGAACGTTTCGTGTGAATAAATAAAGATTTTCTCAAAGTAAGAACACGCTTCTTGACTCCAACACATGCGCCTTTAATCATGATGCTGCACAAAAAAAATAAAATAAAATAAAATAAAATAAATAAATAAATAAATAAATATATATATATATATCTGTTTAACAAATAACCTATCCCAAGAATTAAAGGTTACACTTACAAGTCCTCTTTAACAATACCATAATGAGGAAAACCTCCCAACGGTGTAATAGTTTTTTGAGTAACATCGTATTCAGTTGATGCATTACTTTCATCTTTGCATTTACCAATACGATAAATCTTTTTGTTGACTTCTGTTCGATGATGATATCCATCTTGACCAGCACGTGGAACAGAGTACATCACTCTAAATACATTGAAAGAAACCTTCTAAGAAACTTTGGGCTTATATAAAAGGAAACAGAAAAGGAAAGACGATACCAATGTTATTACCTTGAAGGATGCCACGCGCCTAAAGGAAAGTTGAATTAGAAAATAGCAGCCACGTATAAAATCATTCTTTATGTAAAGATATTACTTACCAATACAAGCTACTTTACGCAAACCTTTATGAGTTTTACGAGGAAGTTTCTTCGTTCCCCAACGATGAGTAACACCTTCGAAACCTTTGCCTTTTGTGACGCCAATCACATCAACAATTTCATCTTGTTCAAATACCGAGGAAATGTCAACCGTGCTTTCAAATTTACTTTTAGCCCAATCAACTTTCTGTTGAATAGTACCACCATTTACCTGAATTTCCATGAGATGAGCTTTCTTTTGTCCAATCTTAACTTTGAGAATTTGAGTGTGGGCTAATACTCTCACAACGTGACAATATTTCTTGATCCTTTCTAATTCTTTAGCAATATCTTTCGCTTCACCAGCATGTTTTTTAGCATATTTTGTAAATGCTTTCTTTTTTGACTTGTACCAATTCTTATAAAATCTTCGTTTAACTTCATAACTTAAATGTTCTGCCCATACTGTGGTCAATGTACGTAATCCTCTTGGCGTATTAACATAACCGACTACGCCTACGATAACCAAAGGCGGGGTTTCAATGATGGTAACGGCCTCAACAACCTCCTTCTTGTGCATCTCTATTTAAATAAAAATCGAGATGATTCGTTAGTTAAAAGAATCATGATTTAAAATTTTTTTTATTCGATCTTGATCACTTACTTGAACCAGGACGGTCCATATCACGAACAACGTGGGTCATACCCGCCTTATAACCCATAAAAGCGGTCAACTGAACAGGCTTACTTGGATCATCTTTTGGAAAGGACTTTACTTTACCGCGATGTCTTCTCGCCCGTTTACGGGGAAGAAATCCCAAAGAGCCATGACGGGGGGCCTCAAATTTTCTATGAGACTTTTATATTACATAAAAATTAATTAATTGCCCCATAGTTAATTAAATTTTTGTTAAACCAATTCAACTTTGGATTAAATGGATGGATTTAAATCAAAATTTTTTGAGTAATAATTTTACATACCATGTTGCCCTTTATTTGATAGTTTTGGGAAGAGAGGAAGATGAAGGATTTCGAATGATTTTTTTCTTTTTAGATTTATGAAAGTCACACGAAAATCACTTTTTTTTTTTTTTTTTTTATCAAGTTACGTAGGTAAATCAGTTATTACGGACCAATAGAAGTAGAAGTACAATTCGATAAATAAATTTTTTTGTTCAAAGTTGAACAGAATCTATTGAGGTTATAAATCTTTTTACACATTTAACTTAAAAACCCAATGAATCCTGAAATTTATCCAATTGATCTAGTAAGTATGTTACTTTTTACAGGTATCAATTCTTTTAAATTGGTGAATTCAAAATACTAATAAAACATAGACGGTAGATCGAAAAGTCGTATCAGATATTTTACATGGTAACCGGTTAATGCTTTTACAATATAAATGTACGGAATATATATATTTACTTATTTATTTATTTAAAGGGATCCTGCATACCATACTGTTTTATCGCGTGTTTGGGAATATTAAACCAAAGGAAGTGGATTTATTAGATATCACATATGTAAGGTCTATTAATTAGCAACAAAGGGGACCTTTTTTGTGATGATTAGTGAATGTGAATCGAATTATAATCCGATTTTCATTTAATTAGTCCGCTATAGATGATCCAGAAATTGAAAAGGTAGTGGACGATAGAGTAGATCAATTCATGCGTATCTTAGAAACCCAAGGAAATCAAAAAGGACAAGTAATTTATCACATTTTAATTAGTGCCCATTTAAAATCATTAAATTTTTTTTTTTTTAAAAAAAAAAAAAAATAATAATAAAAATATATACATACATATATATATATTACATTTATTAAAATTAAATTAAACATTTTAAAGATCGCCGTAATATTTCACGAAAAAAGAACAAAAAAAGCTTGGTTTAGTAAATCTGAAGAAGAAATTTGTTGGGAACAATGGCCCGTCACTATAAACACCGTTATATGTCGAACCGAAAATGGTATTGATCAATTTTTAACACGTAGCTTTAAAATGTTTTGAACTTATTTCAATTTCATCATATTTGTCGTTATTATTTGTTCCTTTATATCAAATCCAAATACTAACCCTCTATAAAATCAATTCATTTAGAAACAAAGAGAATTCGTAAAGATATGGATGATCAATTAGCTACGTGTTTATTGGACATTATACGTTTCGTTAATGATAAAAAGGATCACATACCTCCCATCACAACTTCTGATATCAATCCATTTCCCTTTCAAGTACGTATCTATATATATCGTTACTTTATATTACATTGATTTACCAAAATTAATTCCTTTTTTTTTTATATATAGATTGTTATCCCTGATACCGCAGATACTTGGGGTACGGTGTTAAAAAGAATATTAACAGATCCATCACAGCAAATTTAATATTTCATAATCATATTTAATATATATTTAATCATATTTTAATATAAATATTAAAATATTAAAAAAGTATTTATAAAGAAATAAAATCAATAATTCTATTAATTTAGATCTTATAGAAACTTCAAATGAAACTTATTAAAGAAAATAATCCAACTCTCTTGACAAATTCATCATTATTGTTTATTTTCAACTCATCTCATTGTCAATGTTATTGCAAATTAAAATATTTTATTAATCAATTTCATAAATATATTATATATATCGAAAATGAGCGGTAATTGTTTTATTTATAATATATAATTTTATATAAAACTATTTTTTTTTTTAAAAAAAAAAAATAATGCTGATTATAATAGTAATAAAAATAAAATGTACCATTCATTCACCATATAATCTTTTGTAGTAAGATAAAGAAAAAAAAAAGAAAAAAAAAAAAAAAAAAAAAAACCTCAAATAATTCTAAAAGTAACCATAAAGTCTTTTAAGACGTAGATCAAATAGTAACGTCATTTAACCAAGGATGATTTTTAATGTCACTTAAACTGGGACGTCTTTGAGGATTATTTTGCAAAATTCTGTGAACGAGATTTTTGGCTTCATCACTAATTCTAGATCTTCTACTATCAATTTCATTTTGACTATCTGGAAAGGTGAAATCAGCTCTAATAATCTTACTAAAAAATTGTCTTCTTGATTGACCAGGTTCTAAATTAAAAGGCAAATAACCAACCAATAAAGCATATAAAATAATTCCCAACGACCATACATCGGTCTTACGCCCATCATATGGATTTCCCGATATAAGTTCAGGTGCCGCGTATTCTTCCGATCCACATCGTGTAGTTAAAATTGGGGATGATTTATTAATGAATTTTGCCAAACCAAAATCTGTTAATTTAATAATAATTGGTTCATCTGGTGATGATGAATCTATTAAAATATTCTCTAATTTCAAATCTCGGTGTACAATATTATTTTCATGTAAATATTCTATGATGTTAACTAGCTGAAGAAATATATGCTTACTTTCTTCTTCAGTCGAATTTTCATAATTATCATTCACATAATCAAATAATTCACCTCCTGGAAAATATTCAAGAACAAGACAAAGATGTGTCGGCGTGTCGATCGTATCCAAAAGTCCAACGATATTTGGGTGATTAATATACTAAAAAAAAGGGAAATCATTATTAATTAAAAGAAAAGTTATAATATATACGAATGTGTACACACATACAAAAAAAAAATAAAAATAAAATAATTTACCTTTAAAAGTTCAACTTCCCTAGAAACGCTTGCCTTTAACCTTTCGCTGCCTTGTATTCCTTTTATCTCGATCATTTTAATTGCTACTTTTTTGCAAGTATTCAAATCAATCGCTAATTTCACTGTTGAAAAAGAACCTTTACCAATTGTCTTTAAGATCACATAATGGCTGATTAATTCTGCGGCTTTTGACAAACCAAGTTTCGATAATCTTTGTTGTAACGTGTGATGACCAAATATTGGGCCTGTATCATCACTTGTTTGATTACATTCTTCTACAACCGAATTACCATTTTGCAAACGACTTTCGGAAGATGAACGGTGATGCGGTTGATTTTTAATATCTGCATTCAAGCTTGATGAACTTATTTTCCGAATTGGTGGTGTATGTTTTAAA